AACCTCAGACCCGAAAGATTTGCTTATATAGAATATCCACTGTATTACTACGCGTGCTGTTGTGTACGAGATCTTTATTCTGACCGACTGAAACTCATGGCATCTCCTGCCGTTGGCGTCGTGCCAACCTACGCGAGCCGTGCGGACAAGCCCTAAGGTTTAGGCTTGCGATGTCAGCGCCAAACTAGGAACTATGTGTCCCCTACACTAGTCTGTGCTCTCGTCAAACTTGTTCGTAAAAAGACGAAGTTACCCTTGTATATGTCTTTGGCAGGTTAGTCAATTTATGAATTCCTATAACACAAGTTTTAACCGGTGTGTCGAAAGCACTGATGGATGTCACTTAAAATGTATTGAATATACACTGCGATTGAGGTAACATCCTTTTTAAAAGTGCATCTCAATTCGAGTAACACGGTTGGGAGAATTGTAACCCAATTGCATTTTTTATGGTACATTATTGACGCTATCTGTGTTATCTTTCTACTACACTGTTTAAATGATATGCTGTGGTATGTATACGTTTATATTCTATTAAATTGGTAAGAGTCTTGAACCTGCTCTTTCAGATTATAAGCATAGTTATTGTGGTTAGGGCTTCTAATCTTGTTATCCAAAAGGCAAAGAAATTTGCAGCCCTGTGTTAGTTGATATGTTCTGAATTGGGATTGTCTCAGGTCACCTACCGAAGTTATTGATCAATGTCAAGCAATACTTGTAGCTATCTATCAATGATAAGGCACTTAATAATGTCAATGTACATATGTTTAAATCTCTCTTTTGAAACAATCACACAGTGGTTAGGATTTACTACGTGCTTGGTGATTTTGCTGATTTATTTACTACATACTTGGTGATTTTACTGTGTTGTCAAGGAATGCAGGTCCTAGTGCATTGTACGATATTCTTATTTATTTTGAGCCAGGTAAGTTTGTCGATAGTTAGATTGTTATTGTTAGTTGTCCAACTACTGGGATGTAAAAGTTAATGCATATTGTTGAAAATTTGTTTTGTCAATGTTGCTGGCACATAATAGTTAATGTTGTTCATCCAAGACTTCACAATAAATAGTTTCTTCTGTATTGTCTAGTCTTAACTGTTTTAGGTGTGGCAGTATATCACCCGGCAGTAATTGAATCTGCAGGGTCAATGTTTTAATATTCTGAGTCAATTTTTTGTTCATCGGATGGTTGCTGGGTGTTCAACACAATTGATATGTTCAACAAAATTTGATATGTTGATCATGTCCAATTACAACAAAGCATCAGCAACTTCATTGGAAGATTCTGGAATATGCATAATGTCTGTAATAACTTGTCCGATATAGTGAATTCATCATAGTTGTCTCTGTGCAGCTTTGTCAGATCTTTGAAGGAAATTGTACATAAGTAGTTTGTAGTCTGTCTAAATAGTAAAGTAGCATCCTTTGATAAAATGTTTGAAATGTTTTATTGCCTTAAAAATGTTAGTAAGCTTCCTATTGTAGGTGCTATACTATTGTTCTTTGGATGAGAGTTGAGGGATTTTCATGTTCCATTAACTTTTTGATGGAGTGCAGCTCCACTTGTTAAGCCAGAAGCATCTGTAATAAAAAGTAGTTGTATATTAATTTTGGGATGTGCCAGCAAAGGTGCATTTACCAATTTTCCATATCAGTTATCCATTTGATAGACCGTTTATCGCATTTTTTAGCACCCTCTAAATATTTAGTTAGAGAGGTTTGTTTCTGTGCAGCATTTTTTATTGTCAATAAATCTTCAAAAAGACTGTGCAGCATTTCTTAGGCCAAAAGTTATTACATTATATTTGAAAATACCAAATGCAGTTATTATGGTTGCTTTTTGCCAGTCTTTTAATGCAACCTGAATGTGGTGATATACTTCTTCTAAATCTAGGGTTGTGAATATTGTCATTTTGTCTAGTCTATTAGTCTAGGCTATTGAGTCTTCTATAGTTGCCACATAGGCTTCAATTACTGTTTTTCTTGGTCATGGAGATCTAAAAAGTCACAAAAGTGACGACAAATCCTTTAAGTAAGAAAATGGTTAATTTCTGTTTGGACTGCTTTTTTTCAAAAGGATCCTACGAGTTTGTTACCATATAATACTATACTTTAGTGACGGTGTGGTGTTTTATGCTTTGGTACATTTTGTTGTGATATTGGTCACGTGATCTTAATATATTGTTTTAAAGGACTTTGATAAGGACTGGAATTGCAAAACGTGTAAGAGAATTTAGTTTCATCAGTTCATGAATGTTTTATTGCGTGTGTCTAGCATAAGTATTACCTTGGTACAATCTTTGGTATAATAAAAAGTCTAGTCGAATCAGGTAGTCAAATGTGCCCTTGAGCCAAATGAAACACTCAATATGTCAGTTGATATTAAAAAAAAATATCTCGCACCAAGTTGCAACCTCCTATTTCATCTGTGGAGGTAGTAAAAGGAAAAAAATAAAATTCCAGTTTTTAGCCTACCTTTACTATTTAGTTTTGCATGAAAATTCTGAAACATTGAGGTCTACATAGCGCATATTACAGAATTTTTTCAAATTTTTTGATCGCAAATTGTGGTTGTGAAAAATCAAAAATCGAAAAAAATGCTATTTTTTATTGAAGATTATGGAGCATTACTTTTGCGTTAATGTAGTAGTTAGATATTGGTACAACTAATATTCTCTCATTTTTTGAGACTTTTCGGTTAGGTGCGCCGTAGTTAAAAAAATCAAAAACCGATATATTCCTTTAAAAAGCTACGTTCTGCTCCGAATTTGCATGTTTTCTTTTTTTTACTATATTCATTAAGTAATCTTAAATAGATTTACATTCATAATTGATAGAAATAATACATTAGTTAAGAAAATAAAATTCATTTATTAATTAATTTTGCTGCGTAATTGGTTGTATTCTGGAATGTACGGTGTTATTTTAAGTAAAATATTGGCAAAGAGGTTAAGAGTCCTGCTGCGTCATATGTACACATGTTTTAGTCGCAGGTTCGTGCCCCGCTGGACTTGGTTTTTTCCATGTTATGTTTTTCATTTTTTTTTACTTTTGTAATAATATTAGTACTTGATTCAAAGTGTTTTTTAATACAAGTCATAAGATAAAAAGTAATAGTATTATATATACTAAAGTAATAGTATTAAATATTATTCGATATGAATACTGTTAAATGTAGGTTCTTTGTGCCCTATGAATATAGAAATGTATAACAATTATTCAAAAACACTTACAAGCGATAAAAAAAAGGAAGAGCATAACATGGAAAAACCAGATCACTTCAAAATTAAGGGCACATTTGACTACCATATTCGGTTAGAACCATTCCATAAAAATGGATGCCGTAATCCGAGGTGTCAGTTTGGTTGTCTCAAACATTTCTATGTCCGTACCCTCAGCTGTGTAGATCTTAAAATCAGTACGAGTGAATTCTCTTGTTTAGTCTCAAATCTAGTGGTAAAAAAACCTGAACAACCTTTGTCTAACTTATGTTGTTTCTATTTAGGAGTGACAAGAAGAGTAAGTATCTAGTTGTCAAAAATATAGAAAACACCATTTTCCGTCGTCAGTGGAATTTTGAGAAAAAGTAATATTTCTTCATGATTTTCTTCGCAGACTATTTTCAGAACTCGAATCTATTTCGGTATAGAGCCTGATTTTGCTAAAATAATACGTGACAAATTTTCTTCTATTTAAAACTTTAGTTTCTTGTTCGTGAAATTTTAAGAATAAAATAATAAGCTCGTGCTCTGTATCGACATAAATTAACGTTCATGGCGAATTTCATGGAATTTCAAAGAAATCATGGAGAAATATTACTTTTTCGCAATATGCCAATAGCAAGGAGACTTCAGTACAGGACGC